AAAGTAAAGGGAAAAAAAAAAACCCTCTTAAAAAAAAAATCTTATAAAGAAAAAAACCACAACCAGCGACTGGGCCCTTGTGCCTTGCAGGGGACATGGCTTCCTCCTGTCTCACAGGGCATGGGGACACTGGGGGAATTGGGGCCTGGTCCCAGGGCAGGGGAGAAGGAGGTCAGCTCCATCCTTCCTGGTGGGGACCATCCCAGCAGCATTCCTCCCTCCCAGCCATGGACCACCCTGGATCCTCCCTTGGTCCATGGCTGCGATTCCAGCAAGGGATGGCCATGTCCCATTCCCCTTGGCTCACCCCACAGCTCTCTGTCACCTGTGCACAGCTTTTCTTGGGTCATTATTTTTTTATTTCAGGCTCCCTGCTGTGCAGAGGCAGATGTTCCTGCTCACACCAGCTGTGATCTTGGCCGAGAGCATCCTTGACTCACCTGCGTGGCAGCACGAAGGGCTGGGGGAAATAGTTTCCAAGGAGGAGAAAAGCTGAGCTTTTCCAGCAAAAGGAACAGTAAAAAAAGAAATCCATTAAGCAAGTCCAGAAGTTCAACAAAAAGTTGAAGCAGCAGATAAGGGATATATCCTGACTGTTTCCATGAACCAGCCCTATCTTTTCCATCTCAAAAATCAGCACCAACTGAGTACAGAGATCAGCCCTTTGAAAATAAAGTGAAAAAAAAGCTTGCAGAGAAAAATACAGCTGTTGAGTGCAGAGTTCAAGCTCGCTGAACCTCAGGCCAGTGCCCCAGCGTACCACAGAGGCCACCCTGCCACCTTCGCCCTGGGCAGGTGACACCGTGGTGCTCAGCTTGGCCGCCCCGTGCCTCAGTTTTTGCAGGTGGCGTAGCAGGCATCGTCACCTGTGCTGGCATGTGGTAGCATTTAGATGTCCCTGCTGGATTTTGAGCAGGGATGATGGCAGGGCTGAGTTACCCCTCCCACTGCCCTTCCCTGCCTGGATTTGCTCTCTGGCAGGGCTCTGAGAGCCCACGGGTAGAGGTGGGAGCCTGGACGGGCGCCGTGAGGAGGCAGCGGCTGTTCTGCCTCCCCGGCTGTGCACGGCTGGGAATTGCCTCCTTGGAGAAATATTCCCTTTTCAAACAGCAGACCCTGCCGAGGATTATCCGGAGGGGGGTGGCTGGGGGAACAGTCATGCTGTCTCAAAGGCACTGTGTTGTTTGAAATGCTCTTTAAGGCACTTGATGACTCACAGCAACAGCTGGAAGGAATAAGCAGTTGGTAATTTCCATATTAACCTCCCGGTCCCGGAGACGCGGGATCTGCGGCACGTGGCTGCTCCTAAGGGTACCATGGAGTGGGTGCTGCTTGGCACCATCCTGCAGTGCACCAGGGGCCAGAGGGATGGGGATTGGGATTGGGGTAAGTATAAGGATAGGGACAGGGATGGAGATGGGGACTGGGAGGGGGATGGAGACAGGAATGAAAATGGGGATGTCCATGGGGTGAGAATGGGGATGGAGTTAAGGATGATGATGGGGATAGAAATGGGGATGAGGATGCAGATGGAGATGGGAATGAGGGTCAGGATAAGGACGAAAATGGGGACAGGAATGGAGAAAGGAAGGGGGATGAGGATAAGGATAAGGATAAAGGATAAGGATGGCAATGGGAATGGGCATGGAAACAGGAATGGGGATAGGGATGATAAGGATAAGAATGTGGATGGAGATAGGGATGGAGACAGAAATGGGGGTAAGGATAAAGGTAAGGATGAGGATGGCAATGTGAATGGGCAGAGGAATGGAGGCAGGAATGGGGATGGAGATAAGGATGGGAACAGGAATGGGAATGAGGATGGGGATTGGGATGGGGATGAAGATAAAGATGAGTATGGGGGTGGCCCCAACACTGGGCAGGCTGCTAATGCACCCATCCTGAATCCCTGCCCAATACAAGCTGGGGAAACCGCACTGTGTGGCCACTCAGGGCTGTTTGTACTGCATCTTGAACAACTTGTGCTGAGCCCTGACACAGTCTGTCCCTAACCCTGTAAGGGACATCTGTCCCTGGGGCTTGTCTTTGTGGAAGGGGACATCTCTTTGTCACAAGCCAGCAAGGAGGTCTAAGGTGGGCTCAGTGGGATATTTGCCTCCTGACACTGGACTGCTCCAGTCCAGTGTGAGCACAGAGCCACCCTGCACTGCATCCCGCTCCAGCTGCATTGCATCCCGCTATCCCCACAGCGCCGGGCTCGGGCGAGTGGACCTGGCTGTCACCAACCCCAGCCCTTGGGTCGCTTTAAAACGCCGGCTCTGGCAGGAGGGCTGCGCGCCGGCGGGAGCCGCGGTGGAAAATCCTGCGCTAGGCTCGCCTTGATCCCCACGCGCCCCGGGGGACGCGTTTGCCGCCAGGGCATATGTTTTCAGTTCTTGCCGAGGCCGACTTGAGAAATTTTCTCTCCCTCCCAGCTTCTCTGTTGCAAACAGCAACCGCAGGGCCGGGGCAGCACAGGATGATAAATGAGCTGCTCTGTCCGGGCACAGCCAAGGCCCGGGAAGCTGCTCGGAGGCTGTGTCCCAGTGGGGCGCGGGGGGAGCCGAGGGCTTGTGGTGCCTTCAGAGAGGGGAATGGAAGGTTGGTGTTTTGGGGCAGAGTGGGGAGGGGGTTCTGGCCCTGCTGAGCCCTGGACCTTGAATGCAGCGCGTTGTTTTCTCGCCCATCTGCGGAGCAGGCGGGAGAGCATCTGTTGGCTGTGCTCGAAGGGTGGGCTGAGCCAGTGGCCACGGCTCCCTGGGGAGCTCTGGCTGGGCAACCGGGGTGAAACATTCCCAGATCCGGTGCTGCCGCCTGGGGTCAGGGACCCCATCCTGCCCAGTGGCCCCTTGCCATCAGGGATAAAGGGTGACACTGAGAGACCATGTGAACCTTTAAAGAACATCTGAGTCATGTCCATCCTGACGTGCATGGCGTTCCCAGTGCCCTCGGTGCATAGAGCAGCCACCACATCAGCCCTATAAATAAATAAAATATAACGAGGCCTTGCTGTCTTCTGGAAACCCCTGAAAAAGCCCCGTAGAGCCAGATCTCCCAAGGTATCGTGTTCCCGCTTTGTGTGTCGCCTCCCACCCCCTGCTTCTTTACTGCCGGAGCCATCTGCGTGGAAACTGGATCCGGGTCCCCGAAGAGCCCTCCTGCCCCTGCCCGCGCTCCAGCTGATGTCACACAATCTGTTTGATCTCACAGCCAGTTGCTGAGGAGTGCCGGACACCATCACCCGCAATCCGGGTGGGAGGTGACACAGAGGGTTGGTCAATCCAAGGGGGATGCAGATGGGGTGTCCTGAGGATTGTGCCCACACCAAGAGGATGAGGAGTGGGGACAGTGTGCCTTCTTCACATCATCTGGGTGTGTTGGCATGTGGTTCAAGGCACTCATCCAGCTGTCCCTCCTGTCCCTCTATCCCTGTGTCCTATCCAACCACCCACCTTGCCTCTTTGGGTTTGATCCTGCACCCTCCCAGCTCAGGGATTTGCAAGGACAGCACCGGGGATGTTGCAGTGACTTGCCATGAACTCAAACTCAACAGTACTGCCAGGAGCAGGCTTCCTCCTAAAATGACTGCTTGAAAAATATCCTTACAGCTCCTAATATATTTATTCAATCGGGAGAGCCGTGCCGAGCCGGTGGGCATGCTGACTGGTTGCTTGGGTGGTTAGTAAGTCAGGTTTAATTGTGGCTGGCCCTGGGTACAGTTTGCGCTTCCGCGGTGCCTATTGTCCAAGGACAGCAAAGTGCTTTACAAGCATTAAATCTTATCGCAGGCTGCGAGGCAGGTAAGGATATACCGGGATTATTGCATGCGCCGCTGAAACACCGCCAGCTCCGGCTGGGAACACATCAGCTATTTACCAGTGAGTGGCAAAGCGATGCAGCATTTTAGGACCGAGCGGGAAATAGAATCTGGTATTGAACTGGAACAGCGGCAGGAGTTTTAAAACGGGAAATAAATTACTGGGGTGGTCGGGACACTGAGTTAATGACTGGAAAGGGCAGGAAAGGGCTGGTGATTTCAGTGAGATCCGTCCTGCCCGCGTGAAGCTGGACGTAGTGACTTTCCACGCTGGTTTGGGGAGTGGGAGCTGCACAAAACAACGTGGCGTGGGGAGAGGGTCGCGGGTGGAACACTGGTGATGGACGCGGAGGGGACAATGCGTGCGGGCCGCCCCGCATGAGGCCGGTTATAAACCCCCTCGTGGGGAGTGGATTTGTAAATCTCCACGTCCCTCCCCCGTGGGGTCCCTTCGCTCCTCGCCGGGCTGGCGGCGGACGGCCGGGGGGGCGGCAGCGGCTCGTTCCTCCCCCCGGGCCCCCC